ACCCCCCCCCCCCCCCCCCCCCAATCTCCTTTAAGCTTCTGTCAACTGATCAAAGACAGTAAGTTTAGTAAGAGTTTTACGGCACTTGCAACACAATAAGGTTATATAAGTGCCGAAGATTAGAGGTGTTACAAGAGAGTAACAAACACAAAAAAGAAGGAGGGGAGATAAAGATGATAGATGTTTGATAGGAAACAAGGAGCAAACCACACCAGAGCACCCGCCAACCACCCACTATCAAAGACAGACAACCATTTCAATGCAAAAGTGCCGGGAGTGTCATGATCCAACCTTGGGGCCGAATTTAAACAAGCTATTTTCTTTCAGTAGGTAACACTACTTTTATAGGTTACACGATAGTGAATGAACTATATCACGAGCCAGCCATTTCTCAGTCATATTTATCGATATGTTGACTATACCTTTTTCTCATACTGGGGCGTTGACTTTGAGCCGACGGGTCATTAGCATGAGAATTCACAGTCAACAATGACTAATGTAAAGCATAGCTCAACTCAAAATCAACAAATTCTGCGATAAAAACAGAGAAACTGTATTGTATACCTGTTTCCATGACTTCCCCAACAAAAACCTTGGCAATGCCTGACATAGCAATGACCACATTCTGTGACACAGTGGTTCCAGTGATGTTCTGCATTAGCTGCAAAGATGAAACATGAAGCAAAAGCAATATTAAAGACACAGCATGGATGGACAGAGTACAAGTAATAGCAAAAAAGAAGATGGTTATCTATGTATAAAAGAGCACATGATCAGTTTCTTCCTAAGGAGATGGATCTTTTCTACCAGTAACATTCAATAATAATCAGCACATTTCATCCTCTATACGTACACATTGGAGATCCATTAAAAAACAAAACAACCTAGAATTAGACATGTAGAAGCACTCGCTCTGAAACTTTACAACAAAAAGGAGTATGACTGAAACACTTTCTACTGTCCATCTGATGCTAGCAGTACAAGCACCAGCTCAAATTTTGTCATAGAATCAAATACAAAATCACAAATTCTTTGAACTACAACAATTAAATCCTTGAGCAAATCTAAATGAAAAAAAAACAACCTGATGATGTAATGTAGTTAAATCATCTCTGTAAAAAGAATAGCGGTGATCAATTGTCTAGAAACAAGGCATAATGCAGTGCAGCCTCTCTATAACTATAACAACTGAACTGTAATAAGTAATCATCTTGAAATAAGAAAAATGATGAGAATTCAAATTGTAAAAAAAAATAAATAGATGACTAACCAATCTTGAAACAACAACAACAAAAAAAAGAAAATTCAAGGAAAAACATTTCCTCATTTCTCTCACCCTTTTGATAGCTGCCTTTGGAAAAGTTGCACGTCGAAACATTTCGTATCTGTTCAGCTGCTCTTCAGAAAAATTTGACACAAGCACCCTGTGGAGGACAAGACGAGAAAATCTCTCAAAGAAACTACAGAACAAAGACAAAGAAAAACAAACCTGCACTCACAAAAATTATCTCCCCTACACCACACACTAGACTAAAAAATAATGTATCTCGTGAAGATGAGAACAGGAGTGACAATGAACATTGATTAACAAAAGAGAGCAAGTAACAAAATGTTTTGGGAATTGCACGCCTATTTTGTAGAAGGGATGTGCACTATATAAAAACAATCTATTGTTTTACTAAATTATTTTTGAGAGTGTTTCAAATAAGGGAAGACAAGGAGCACAAAAAAGAAAACCAAGAGAAAGGAGAAAAAATCATGTGTCCACTTATCTAATAAACAACTCGAAATTTTAATGAGGGATTCATAAGCTTCACTATTTTTTAGACAACATGTTTTAACTCTCAAGACCAAAAGCACGAGTGATTGTAATATAGGTAAAGTTTATAAAAAGGAAAGAACAATTTTTTTTCTTCTCTATTTGATAGGATATATTATAATTATCGCAGGCAGTGAATGAGATGAGCTTCAGTACGTAAACTTAATCATGACACACAAACACAAACAAAAAAAAGATATCAAAGTCTTCAATGGCAGGTGCAATAGTACAGAAAAATTGTCTGCATAACGTGCAACCTAACTTTAAGCCTCCAGTTTGCAATAAATCTATAAAATTTACGCGTGTAGTATTCCTCTTCACAATATAATACAACAGAGTACAGCAACTGCACCTGTATGTATGTCCCTAACCAAGTACAAGCACCTGTATTTTTTACTTGTAAGCAACCATGAGGATAGAAACCAATGGAAAGCAACAAACAGGTGTTAATGTTACGGACAAACAAACAAAAAGCACAAAAATGTTGTTAAATTTGTACAAACATATAACAAATTTGAAAACAAAAACACATTGGCAAAAATATCTCCTTCAAAACTTTAACCAGATTGTATGGAAATATAGGAAATTAAAAAAGTGTCAAGGATAATTTTCTTTTACAACTTAAGGCACTACTCTGGAGCTTAATTCAGACCTTAGTAACTACATGGACATGGGGGAAAGAAAGCAAAATGCCACATGAGCACGATGCCACTGATATATGTTTTCGCATGAATTTTTCATTAATGTTTAGAAGTCAAATGATAGCACAGATATAAAATGAGCAGGCATCACACTTTGTCAAAAAGGAGAACATAAATTTATAATACCTAAGCAGAACAAACCATTTCCTTTTTAACTATGGATATAGCTAAAACCAACAACTGTGTATCTTTCTAAAGTGCCGTAAAAAATTAGTGGAGCAACTTATTGTTAAATACCTCCTTAACTATCAAACACAGACTCTCCTGCTTTTGCACAACAGCTTGTATCAATTTGTCTTAACAGATCAACATTTTTGTAAACACCTGTTAGCTTTATTCTAGAAAATTCCTTAATAAGCACTAATAAAAGGTCCCAACTGGTGGTTTCTACAGATCTTTAAAGGTTGACACCCCACGAGCTGGGTCAATAGAACCTTAAGTTTAAAAAGCAAGCCCGTCCTTTCTTCTAATCATGTGCTTGAATGCATGTTTGAGAATATTGAGTGCAAAAAATAGTGTTTAGTATGAAATTATTTTTTGCAACAAGTTTTGTCACTAGAGAGAGTCATTGGTAGGCCATATATATGCATATGCAAAATGTGTGTGAGAAGTGGGAAGTGCTGAGAACACTCCAATTTCCTTCAAGAAGGAGATTTGTATTGTTTTTATATAATTATAAAGAAAAGTTTTTTTTCATCTAGCATCAATTGTTATGGGTAATATATGATTAAATTAAGACAAATTGATACAAACTGCTGTGCAAAGTATGGGGGACACTGATTCATCCGTTCAAGAGATATTTGTGGATAGGTTGCATCACCATTTTTTGACTGTACTATAGTCTCAGTGTAAACAACAACTGTTAACATGAAGCACAGTACAGCAGATCTCAACACAAACTCAGCTAGAACATGGAGACAATCAAAATCCTCAACGGGATTCCTTTATTATTCTACAAATCAAAATTCAAGACACTATGTATGATGAGAACATTTTTGCCACTTGCCCAAAGTCATTTACTAGTAACCTTATTTCTCTCTGTCCCATTGCCTTTCACTTTCACCATTTCCCCTTTCTTTCTATCCCTTCAAGATTTTTACACAATAAACAAAGGAGCAAGACAACTGTCATATATGTATGTCATGTACATATTGACTTAAGAAAAAACAGAACATTTAAAAGGAACCTCTCCTCCATTTTCTCTCTGTCTCACTCTCATATTCCTTCTTTTCTTTATATATCAACTTCTATTTTGAAAGCATGATTCTGAAAAGCTTGATTAATTCCAGGCATGGTATGTATGTGTTTGAGTTCTGTGCAAAGCAGACATTATCATCAATGGATTTTCACCTCTCTCAGTCTTTATAATATTCTTTTCTCATAAGGTGCCTCAGATCAATCCACTCAGTTTCAGTACAAGTTTTCTATAAGTCAGCTGGAAAAAGCTTCAAAGTCGCAAATTACAATCTAAAAAGGTGAAAAGAAAGCAAACATTAACTCCTCTCCTTATTACCGTATTTTTTCTCTCATTCTACTGATTCTCACAACATTAACAGTATACTGTAAACACATCCAGCAGTCGGTAGCATTTGTTTTAAATGATTTCTTTTGCAATTATGTCAACATGAAACATAAACAGAATGAAAAAAAAAAAAAGAAACAATGAAAGCAAAACAAGGAAAACAAACAGAAGTCTTTGTATACCTCTCGTGAAAACCCCCTCTTAATGAAAAAAGAAAATGAAAAGAAAAATCAAGGTAAATGTAAACAGTTAGTCAATGCAATGATGAGCTGGAAAAAAATTATGAAACAGTAAGTTCTGTCTAAATAAAAATAAATTTGACTTGTTTTCTACTTCACTGTCTTGTCTCTATATGGGTAGGCTAAAAAGACATTAAACACATTGTATTTTTAAAAACAGTGCATGCCTGAAATATACCGATTTAACAAACTTAAACAGAAATCTATCAGATCACAATTCAAGATATTCATAGCTACCAAACTCAGGAAACATGAATTCGGTCTGGTACTTGAGCCATGACGGAAGAGTAATATATCTAGATTTTGAAAGTAGAATTCCCTCTCAGTGGTGGAGAGTACATCCACTCTAGCAGTTCTATGACATAACACTGATGTATCATTAACTCATTTGTATTAAAATTCAAGAGCGGGAAAAAAAGGCCAAGCAATGTCATCAGATTTATAATATTCAACTATTTATAATAAATAACCTTTAAATTAAAGTACTCTTCTGTTTTTTTAAAGAAACTTTTCCATGTTTCAGTGGTGTTCTTGGCAGTCAACCTAGTATCCTCTTCTATCTCAATCCCTGAAGTCTGAATGTCCTCCCCCTGACCTGTATTTTTGCATGGATAATAGACTTAATTTTAGAACAATGTCAATAGACCACAATATTTCATTGAAAACACTAGCAGAGGAACCCAGAAGATTTGCATTAGGCTATAATGTTTCGAAATCACCTGGGTCAGGCAAAACTCACGATGGGTAAAAATATCTACACCTTGAGAGAGCTAATTAAGTTCAAATACATCACCTAGAATTAGATTAACACTTTTAACTCCTTTCCATTCAACAGTTAGTCAAAAGTCAAAATGAACAAAAGACACTGTCATTAAGTCTCAGCAAAAGAAATAAAAAAGTTCAAAGTTGCACAAGTTTGGAGTAGAGCCCTAGAACCATACATACAGCCCTGATCAGGCAGACATAGGTTTTTTATAGAAAACTGAAGCTTTAACTTACTGCATTTTCATTCTATCCTCTTCCTGTTTCTGATGCTTCTTCAACACTTGCTTTATCTCCTCCTCAGACATTTCAAACTTCCGCTTCCTGTCTTGAGAGGGACCTGCAGAAGTTGAAGAAGAGGATGCTGACGTTGATGGCTCACTTTTCTCATGTGATGAGGATCGATCCTTCCCACTACCTCCGCCTTCTGGAGTCTTTTCTCTGTCAGAGGATGAAGCTCTTTTCTCTGGTGTGCTGCCACGACTTGTCTTTGGTGAGGAACCTGAAAGGATTAAGAATAGAAAAATCAGGGAGTTTTACGAGTGAAACTCAAATCTACATTAAGAAGGATGGACAAGGTGAACTCTACAGGGCAGCACTACACGTTCCAGCTTCTCACAATTTGAATAATATAAATCATACTTAAGCCATGTTAATGGAGATGAAATACAGTCAAACATGCTGTAACGGCCACTTGCCCAAAACGGCCACCTGTACAAATGACCATTTCCCACTTTCCCCCTTGCGTTTTCTCTTTACTATGATGGCACAGTGGAGTCCACTTATAACGAGTCCAGAAAAAACGAGAAGTCTGTTATAAAGACACTATTCTAAAACCCCGTTTTTTTCTCCTCTTTACCTTTGTAAATAAAATACTGCTATAGCACTATCAGACAAACATGCGAGTCGGTTATAGCGAATATTGCTGCTGCTGTGCACAGTGCATAGGCCAATTTTACATAATGCAAAACCTCGCCAGTTGAGAAACTTGTTGGTGATCTAGCCAAACAAAAAATAGGAGAGCCCATGTGTGTCAACAATAAAGACCGGAGCGACTGAGTTGGGAGGGTGTGGCATGCGCAGACAAGCAGAACGCATCGCGTGATAGGCCAGAGTAAGCCTAGTTTAGATTATCAAGGCCTACCATGCCTCTCACTTCTCCGATGCGGGAATGGAGAGGTCACAGCATTGTGATGGATGGAGCGAATGTGTGACGTGCGCAAGCAGACGGAATGCACCACAGGGTGGGGTGGGGTGGGGGAAAACACAGCAGGCGAGTTAGCCCAGAGCCCTTTCTTTCTGATTGCCAACGCCGAGCTGTCAGTCCATATCGCTAGATCTAGCGCTAGAGAAAGAAACCTGATTCGACTTTTGATCAAGTAAGACCTAGAGGTCATCTTGAAAAAAAAAAATCATCATCAGGGAGATAGCAAAAGGAAATAAACAAAACACCAAACTCATAGATTAGGCCTTCTTTAGAGTTTCCCTTGAATTTTATACTGGATCCTGTATAGCGAGAATCCTGCTATAACGAACATAAAGCTCAGGTCCCCTCCCTCTCGTTATAACAAGATTCCACTGTATTCTAAAAGGTCTACTACTTATTATGCGACAACATTGAGTTTAGCCTTCGTATTGTTCAAACATCTGACTAATGCGTGGGAAGCTTATTTCGCAATAAACAAAAGGTCCACAGTTTGTTTCATGACTCTGACGAGTAAAGACATCTTCCTCTCTTCTTGCGTGTGAATACATTACATGTTCATTTGTTTAAAAAGTGGACAATAATTGTTAAGCAAGAATGAATCGAACATTCAGGTACATTTCTGAATGGAAATTTCCAGGAAAGACACAATTCGCCTCCATCTTCACTTGACCCCATCAAGTATCAGGAACTTGTAAAGTAATCCAACAAGTCCACCTTTTTGCTGAAAAAAAAAAATATGACAAACATTTTTTCTCAACGTTCCCCTCCAGTGCAAGAGAAAGTTAAACAAGATCCAGTACAAGAATATGAACATGGTTTTGACCTGCAGTATGCAACTAGAATAGACAGATCTGATCTAGGAAATACTCATACCAATTGCATTTTAAGTGTTTTAGAAAAAAATAGTTTTAACTTTAGAGAAGTAATAGTCTAGAGCGTCATACCTTGCCAGAGTTCTGAGCACTCCTGGCTCTCAGTACCCTCAATCTTACCTAGTTTGTCTGTCGATGAGCCCAGTACAGGAGACGATTCTTTACCCGACGTAGGTGTCCCAGGACTTGGGCTTGGGCTGGGACTTAAGAAAGAGGCATTCCTTTTCTCTCCGTCTGCTGCACCACCATCGTCCACTTTGAGCTCCCTAAAAACATTGCAAAATTTTGATAAAACTGACATTCAAAAATGTGAAACAAAAACTATGTTTCAGTTATTTCAAAGATGCTGTGGACAATGAAATGGTGATGAAAACGGGCACAACCAACCTTTCTGGTACCATTACTTGATGTTTGGTGGCCCTGCTTATTTCTAGTTTGATCCATTCAAAATTGTCTTTGTTCTCTAAACTCAAGAGAGTGGAGAAAAACAGAGAATGAATGGAATATGAACCTATAAATTTATATATATAGATCTATGAAGTGATTATTCTCGCCCTGGAAGGGATTTTTTTTCACTGCCAAAAGTCGAGCAGTCTTGTTTTCTCACAGTACCTTTTGAAAGCATTTTCAAACGAAGTATAATCCGGGCTGTCCCAACCACAATGTAAGTATCTGAATATTCAGACATTTAAAAATCTCTAGCTCTGGAAATTGAATTCGATGCAAAAAAAGGCCCCCCCCCCCCCCCCCCCCCCCCCCCCGTTCCTTGCAGAATGGCAGAATGAAAGATGATGCCGAACTCTTTCAAATAACCAAAAATCTCAAGAACGGAAACCGCTCGGAGAAATACAGGTCAAGTTATTTTCCAGAGCGTTCTGAGAAATATCATTATTATATATGGAAGTCGAAAAAAACCCATGTCTCGCTATTCTCACCCCCTTCGTTTTACTGGAAATCACCCTAGAGGGATCAGGGCTGAGGTTAGCGGGCATGACCCAGGGGGGGGTAACGGCTAATGCGCCACAGAATCATGTTTGTCACTGCTCGTGTCCGAATAGTTAGTCAGGATTGACATGGGTTATCAGTTTTGAGCCAAATCCCAGAAATTTGGCTCTTTTGGATCGTGTCTGGCCTAGAGAATTTCATTTGGCTCTCTTTCTCTTTTTTTGGCTCCAGACTCCCTATGTTCAAGAAGAAAGGCAAAGAGGAAGCAAGAAAAAAAGAAAAAGAAAGAATTTTTAAAAAAAGAAAGTGAAGAAAAGAGCTTCTAAAGTATTGCTTTATTATTAAACTAGTTAACACGATATAACACCTTCGCCCATTAGGTCTGAACAATTTACAACCCTTCTAACGTCGTGCAAGAGCATTTATTGTCTCGTGCTTGTGTCTCGTTACGTTTGTACACGCTCTCTGTTCCTTGAACCAAAATTTATTGTGTGCAGGCAGAAAGTGAGAGGCCTGCCATCGTTAAGTGTGTAAACAACGAATGGTCCGGCCGGCGGTAGGTCCCACATCCCGTTCAGTAGCATCGGTTATGAGGCTCTTTTTTACAAGAGAGGCGAAAAATGTTTTTATATTACTATTATTCGTTCCCAACCACATGCGGTAAGCCACCAAGGGCCTAGGTGATTTTATCAGCCTGCGAGAGATCAGGGGAGAGTCCTCGCCTCATGCCAAAACCGGAGTGGGAGCTATTCTCACCAGGGGAGGGGGTGTTTGTGTGAGAATAGCGAGTCATGAGTTATACTCACCCGCGGTGAGAATAAAGGTGGCAATAGATCTAGATCTCGATCAATCAGACCTCCAGCAGTTATGCAGCTAGAACTTGAAGGCGAAGGCCAATCGAAATAGAAGATATGGTGTCTACGTACACGGTAACCTGGCACCTAGTCTCAGTAACCGGAATGAAAATAAATCAATATTTGTCCTGCGCTGTTACTTGCTGAAAAAAAAGAAAGTCATACAAGCGCCTTGTCGGGCTTCCATCGTGGCCGGTTAGTGAACCTGTGCGTGCGCATCACATTGTGAGTACCGGTTCATCGTCATCATTGCCTTTCTCACCCTGCACCAGGGTATAGGCCACGGACAAACACCTTCCACCTTTCTCTATCCTGGGCTAGCCTCTTGATGTTATCCCATCTCTTCCCACTTTTCTGTACATAGATTTCTGTGATTCTTTTCCAGGTTCCACGCGGCCTTCCCCTTGATCTCTTACCCTGTGGGTTCCAATCCAAAACTTTCTTTGTTATGCAGTTGCCTGACTTCCTGAGAGTACGTCCAATCCATCGCCACCGCCTTCTTCCTACCTCCTCTCTGACAGGAGTAGCGGTTGGGGTCACCAAAGTTCATTCAAAGTGAATCAAAGTCTGTGAGCTGCGAAGTGTAGGGCACCGGAATGGGGGGGATAATTTTTTAAAATTTTTTTTTTAAAGGTACAGTCAGGTGAGGCGTGAGGATGAAGGCAACACTGGATGACAAAAATCTGAACCTGGAGTTCTGAACAGCCCGGTTACTGTGTACGTGACACTGAGACTATGTGCCTGGTTGCCGGGTTACCGTTTTCGCAGACAAGATCATATTAAGGCCAGCTCTATTTCTCCGATTGTTCGAGAAAATAAACTAGAACTTTATTTCTCCGAACGGTTTCCGTTCTCGAGATTTGTTGATAATAAGCGAATGGAGTGGCCCGTTTGTGTGTGTGTGTGTGTGTGTGTGTAAGGTGTGAACGGGTTAGGGGGGAGGGGGGGGCGTGGAGGGATTTTTTTTTACATGAAGGATTTTAGTGTTTGCAGGGCGACTAAATGCAAAATGGGTTACTGCCAAGGTCGAGCAGTCTTGTTTTCGCAGCACCTTTTGAAGGTATTTTCAAATTCAGTATAGTCCGGGAACGTTGCCCCAACCACAATTGAAGTATCTGAATATTCAGAAAAAATTGAACTCGATGCAAAAAATGCTTCCTCCCAGTCCTCGCAGAATGGCAGAATGAAATTATTTAATTATGAAAGGGCGACGCCTAAATCTTGCTAATAACCAAAAAATCTCGAGATCAGAAACCGTTCGGAGAAATAGAGTTCAACTTTATTTTCTGGAGCGTTCAGAGAAATAGCCACTTCGTAACATTAATTAAGCTGGATCTATTTCTCCGAACGCTCAGGAAAATAACTTGAACTCTATTTCTCCGAACGGTTTCCGTTCTCCATATTTTTTGGGTATTTGTGAATGGAGTGGCCTGTGTGTGTGTGTGAGTGTGTGTGTGTGTGTGTGTGTGTGTGTGTGTGAGTGTGTGTGTGTGTGT